CGCTTCATGCACACCGCTTTATCCACACCGCTTCATGCACACCGCTTCTCCCCACCCCCCCTGCGTGGCGCAGGTTTCCAGCAACGACCGCGTCTTCTACGACAAGATGAACGACCTGATCATCCACCAGAACGTAGCTGCGAAGGCGCTGCTCGTAACGGACATAAAAAAAATGAAGGAGAACTACCAAGCTGTGTATGTGAAGTTCGACTCAGAAATGTGTGAACACATAACCTTCGCTTCAAACAAAACGTTCTTCCTGTACTACTCGATCAACCCCAACCAGATCCACATCGCGGATATTCTAAACAGCCATAACATATATTTGAGTGTGTGCATAAATAATTTGAGCGAGTGTAAAATTTTGGCTGCCTTTTGGCTATCCGGGGAATCCCCTAGCAGTGGTGGTGTGCCCTGTTCCACATCTGGTGCGTCGTCTGCCTCTTCGGCCGACTTTGCCGTAGTGACCAATAACGGAGTAGAAATTTTCCACTTGTCATGTGACAATTTAACCATTACTCCGTTGAAGAAACACGTGATGAAAAGTGAACAGTGTTGGTATGACGAAAGCAGCTCCTACATCGCCCTCCACTCCAGTACACACAAAACACATGTCATCTTCCCCTACCTACTAAACAATTGCAATGCGATCAAGTTACAAAAAATTGAGTTGAATATACCCAAGACAGAACCCATTAATAAAAACGATATAGACATTATAACCTTGTACGATGAAACATATTGTATTCATAAGGATTATAAAAATGGAAGGATCTCCTTCAGGTGTTTATCCTCCTCTTTATCCTACGACTATGTACTCGACCTATTTTGCCACGGCATACTAGACACCTTTTGTGTGGATAATATATTTGGTGTGTTTAATTATTCGAATGAAAAGGTGTACCTATTTGATATACAGTATGCGAGGAGACAAAAGAAGAGTAGCCTAATGAATTCCTTATCGGATCACATAAGGAGCAACCACACCATTAACATTGCTTACTTGACATCGCCGAAGCAATTTAGGACTCAACTTGTGCTGAGCCATATTTCCTTTCACCCCTTTAATGTGCTAATAGATATTCAGTACGGAAATGTGTACAAGATTCGCGTGGACTATGACGTGTTCATGCTGCAGATTTGCCAGCACTTCGCCAACCTGGTACGGGCGCGCACCCCTCCACTATGCAGGAGGTCATCGCGATGCAAGCGGCTGCCTCACATTTTCACGTGGCCACTTTATGACCACTTGCTTCTACCCCCGCAGAACACCTCCGTGGACGTGCTGCTGCGAAGACCCAACTGCAAAAAAAGGATTACAGAAATGTTTTTCCTGTCCCTGGAGAACGACATTCAGATGGAAGACTTCCTCACCATGGTAAACATAATAAACCTGAACTACCGCAAGCTGATTGAACAGTCTGCAAAGAAAAAAAGTCCTCCTCCTGCCCCTCCTTCTGTAAGAGGAACCAACCATAAAATTATTCAACCCGTGGATGAAATAATTAAAAATTTGGGTAAAAAAACTCTCATCACCGAGAGGGATATCGTCACAGATGTGTTTCACTCCTTCATGATTAAAAAGTATGGCCTCGACAAAAAGGAGACTCTGTTCAACTTCTCCCTGAACTTTCGCCAAATGGAGAAGGTCAAGCGGGACAGGAAGAGGGGAAGCGGGGGAAGAGATGAACAATGTGATGATAGGTACATGCTAAAGTATAGGATAAGGAGGAACAGGACGACTTCTACCCCGGTGGGGGGTGATGCAGATGTGCCTTCGCCCACCACAGACGGGGTACCCCCCACAAGAACAGAGACAAAGAGTACCACACCCGATGCGATAAACGAAAGCGTCATTCCCTCAGAGGAGTACAGACTCAAGCTGAGCTACGCCGAACTGCATAGCTTCCCCACGTTCCTCCTCTACGTGCTGGAGTACATGAAGTCCCTCCTCATGTTGAACATCATCCCTAACAGGATCCTCCAAACCTTCCTGTTCGACATATGTATCTTTTACGAGCAAGACAATTGCCTGCGGCAGTTGTTACAGTTTTACGTCATAGCTGACTCGGTGGAAGTCACCAAGCGATTGTTTCATTATTGGAAGTTGACTCACCACACATGGGCCTATCAGCTCTGTTTGGACATGTCCCTAAGACTACGCGAATATGAAATGGTCCTTCACCTTTTCCTTTCAGCAAACAAATACATAAAAATAATTCACTTCATAAGGACTCACAATCTTATTGATTATCCCATTGCAGTGATTTTGCAAGCTATAGAAAATGACTTTGACTCGCCGGATAAGTACATTATATTTAATCACGTCCTTTCTTCCCTTAGCCGCTGGATTGAGTACGTCGCATCAGGGGAACACGACTCCAACGTTGAATTGTTTGCTGAGCTTTTCCTGCCGAGCGTCCCCTGTTTGAGCTCATATGTGTGGTGAACCGCTGTCTTGACCACATGTTTTTTCCCCTCCCCCCCCGTGTAGCGACTGCGACCGTGACCCCGAGAATCATCCTCTTCCCAATTTGCAGGTAAACCTCCATGCGTCTCGTTATGCAATTTTACAAAAATGTTCAGGCGTTATTGGAGCCTTTTTTTTCTCGCCTTTTATTGTGCTTATTATCTCACCCTTTATTGTCCTTTTTTTTTCCCTGCAGAATTGCGAAAAGTGGGTGACGTTAGTTGAAGAGTAGTGAACGGTCCCCTTTGCTCCATAAACGGATGCAGATTGCCGCGAAATGGAACAGGGGTCCCGGGTAGGGGAGATCCCCATGTGGCCCATTTTCTCCGGGCCGTTTGGGCAGCTTTCCACTTAGCGCCCTTTTGCGTAGCACTTTTTTTTTTTTTTTTTTTTTTTTTTTTTTTTTTTTTCCCTTTTTTCGTGCTCACAGCTAACCCAATACATTCCTCAAATCAAGTTTCCCATTTATGGACTCCCTTTTTTGGGGGGGACCCAAAACTGTGTGCGTGTATTTATCCCACAAGACGCTGCATCATCCACGCGGTGATAAATTTTGCTTCACCCCTGGAATTGGCGAAGACACCTCCGTACGTAGAGGTGTGTAGGATTTGCGTTGCCTTCTTGCAGCGCTTGGACGGTAACAGAATTGTGTGCGTGTGAGGGGGGCTCTCCGAGGAGACGCCAAGACGGGGAACCGCGCATACGCGTGCGGGAAATCCCGTAAGGGTTCAATTAGGGGTAAAAAATTGGGACAACAGTTGGGTAACAGTTGGGCAACAGTTGGGCAACAGTTGAGCAACAGCAGAGTATAACACTCGTAACAAAATAGAGTAACCACCGCAGAGACACATGCAGGGACACATGCAGAGACACATCCTACGCGATAACTACATGAGTTTCATGGGCGAGGTGCGCGGTGAAAAAAAAAAAAAAAAAAAAAATGAACATGGAGGAAAATCACTTAAAATTTTTATTTGGACATAATTTCGGTTAGTATAACATTTGTAGGGGGGCGGGAAGCCCCCCCGGGACAATTTTTTTTTTTTTTTTTTTTTTTTTTTTTTTTTACGTCAAGGCGGCTGCTCAGGTGTAGGAGAGGTGCACGACAGAAGGGAGAAATTGAGTGGGCCCTCTTCCAGTGCACGTTTGTACGCGCGTGTGTGTCTGCGTGTGTACCTGCGTGATGGGCCTCCTAAATGTACGTCCACAACGTACACACGAAAATCGCCACTAACTCTTGTAAATAGGTCAAGTGAGACTGCGTTGTGGGCAGTTTCTTTGTTGTCCACCCGCCCGCTTGGCAGCTACACAGATAGAAAAAAAACCGCAACGAGGTCACTTCTTCAAAGCGAATACCTTCTTGAGCAAATACGCCACGGCCCCCTCCTTGTGAGAAAGGGGGAGTACACACTTGGCATGAGATTTGGCCGAGTTAGTGGCATTGGCAACAGCAAAGGAGTATTTGAAATGGGACAGCATAGCAATATCATTTTCAGCATCCCCCACCACTAACACTTGGTCATTAGATATATTGTAGTGCTTTAAAAGGTAATTAATTCCTGTGTACTTATCATGACCTAACTTAGTCACCTCTGCGTGTCCATTATAGGTGGTAAAAATGGTTAACTTATTTTTAAATTTCTGTTTTAGATTCTTTATCACAGTGTTGGACTCTGAGGGATCCAACACAATCATTAATTTATTCATGGTGCGATATTTCAGCATTTCATTGTGCCTTATTATAATGCTTCTATTTTCGCTGTACATTTTTTGCAGGAAGTCTGAATACTTATTGTCCTCCGTCACATAATTTGATTCTCCTCGATGGAAAATGGTTTGATTCACTAAATTATTTTGCACTAGGTAATTAATTAATTCTGCATACACATCAGTCTCTATTGTTTCGTCCAGGAGGGTGTAACCAATCTGGTCATACACGATCGTTCCATTAATATATACTCCAGGCATACCATAAAAGTTCATTTTTTTTAAATTTTCTTCACCGAATGCACTTAATATTCCTACCTTTGATCTCCCTGTACATATACTTACCATGTACCCCTTTTCAATTGCTTCCTTAATCGCCTCGATGTTTTCGCTCGGCACCTTTATGTCCTTGTCCACGAACAGTGTGCCGTCAAAGTCAATCAGCAGCAGCTTTATGTCTGCCCCGTTCAGGGTCTCCTCCACCTTCTTGTCAGCGCTCTGGTCAGCCATTTGGGCAGCCGGCAGGACAAACGCGAGCAAATCGCTAGGCCAAACGTGCTTCGAATGGGGGTCGATTATACGTCGATTGTACGTCTAATGGGGATGAATCTCACTCGACTGCGTTTGCGAAAAAATACATATAACTCCATACGCTGAAATCTGTTACAGGAAGCCACCTACGCGCGAGATTCCTCACTGACGATAACGACCAAACGTAAGCAATAACCAGCAGCACAGAACAACGCGCAAGTGGCGGCCAAGTTACCACGTGATTTAAAGGAATATTCAAAGAGATGATATACGCTCAAATGAAAACGTATAGTTTGGCGCCTCTCTCCCTACAGTCGTGACAAAACGAAATAGGATCTTAAGGACTTGTGAGGTTTGCTTATATT